CCCGCTATGTCGTAAATCGTAACGGGCTCCTCGTAAATTGCGGGGGGTGGGTGGGGAATAAAGAGGAACAGGTTTCAGAAATATAAAAATAAATGCCAGGCAATGTCAAATTTACACTCCACAGAATTAAAATAGTACATATTTACGAATTTCCAACCCAGGGGGAAAAAAAGAAAATAAATAAGAAATCCACATACATCTCAAAGCAAGAAGCAGGGGACGGTTTTTGCCTCCTTCCCCCTGGAGCTGTAGACACAACGGGCTGAATTCGTGAAACGATCCCCCCCTTTCAATACATAGCACGTTTCGTAGGGGCCTAATGTTGTATCTCCGGGTTCAGTAACAGACGAGGCTCTCTCCAATCGCCTTGGGCCACGCGCTGGGTCTAAGAACTCCTGCCCTCCACCGTTACTCCCCCACTCTCCGGCCCAACAGCTGCCCTGCGGATGCTCCAGACCATCGCCGCCACCGGCCAGCCTTACGTATTTTACTCACTCTTACTCAGCACACCCGCGGGCGCTCTCCGCCCATGTTTGGCCAGCGCTGGTCTCGAACCTCCGCCCTCAGGCTCTGACTCCGCCCGCCCTCCAGTCAACACGCCTGCTGCGTGATCCGACGGCCCGTCGCGACCAGCCGTGCCGGCACCAGCTGAACCCTTTTTACACCATCGCACACTAACCCGTCGCTGCATCACCACTCCTTCTCAACTCGAGCCGCCACCGAGTCAGCTCCTGCCAAGACCCCGACACTCGCCGCGTCCTCTTCAGTCGCCTGCTGCGAGGTTGACCGTGTTGTCGCCCGCGTCCCACGCCCCCGCAACACGCACTCGCCGGCCACCCGCGCCACAAGCACCACCCTTGCCTTCTGCCCGGCACACGACCAGCACCGGCCGGCGTGAAAACGCAGAACTCTTCTGAGTGGTCTGTCGAGGCCCCTGTCCCCCTCCCACCCACTTCCTCCCTCCCAGCTCACACTCCCGGTCTTTCATCACAACGCTGGAACTCAGTCGGCCCCCGCCGGCCCAACCATCCATCATCCAACGTTCTCTTCACAGAAGCAGAAAAGCCCTACATGCAAAAATTTTTTCTTAAACTCCCCTAAACGAAATCTCGTCGTCTTTCTCAAAAGTCGTTTCTTTCTTCCCATTCTGCCGAAACAAGCCTACTGGCCCACCCACACAAATCTCTTCTCTAACACAATGCAACCAAACTCTCCGCGCGTTTCTACAAACGTCGCATTCTCGCTTCTCATTCTGAGAACACCGCCATGCCCAACAACACTCCCTCTTTCCTTTCCTAACAAAAACTTCACCAAAATGTGCTCCGCTTTGCTCAACAGCTCAACTCTCTCTCCTTCCTCATTTATCTCCATTCCTCCTCCATTATTCATCGCTATTCATCCATCTATTCCATCTTATTCTTTCTCACAACATCGCTTCCACCTCATCATTCACGCCCATGCCCGCAAACACTCTGCGCCACCTCGTCCGCCAAACCCTCGCAAACCACCCACAGACCGCCAGCACACGCCTACACACAAGTGTACGCCCCCGGCCGGCGCTGCGCGTCGGTCACACACCCTGTCCATCCCACGCCTTTCCGCGAGGCCCCGAAGGTGCGCGCTCCGGCCGTCCTGACGCCCGGCACACAACACAACCAAACACCTCACGAGCACCCACCAGCCACATGGAGAACCCACCACAAACACATCACTCACACACACACACAACACACAACATCCCAAACACCGGCCATCGCCGTCTCACTCGCCACCTGCTCACTCCGGCTCACCCCAGGAGGCCGAGGCCACCGGACGACATCCGCGGGCTGCACCCGGGCCGCGCAGTCTCGGCAGCTGACGCCCGACATCGCGCACACTCCCTCCCTGGCCCCAGCACACAGACGCGCAAAAAAAACAAAAAAAACCAATCCTTCAATCTCTAATGAAACTGCACACCGTCCACAACCAACCCCCCTCCTCGCTCCTGCTTCCCCAGCCTCCTTTTGATCAACCCATCAGCCCTTCTCCTTCGTCTTCCCTTCTTCCGCAACCCTTCTGCCGCCGAGACCACCGGCTACCTACGTCTCTCCGCTAAACCGCGCTGCTCGTCCCCAGTCCCTGGGGCGTCACCGGCGCGCGGCGCGGCTGTCACCCACTCAACGCCCTCACCCCCACACAATGCCGACACCCGGCTTCGCTGCGTCACCCCCAGCAACCAACGCCTCCGCCCTTCACCCGCGCACCTCAGGATCTTCTTTTCTCTTCCAATTCCACCTCTGTCCTCCCGGGCAGAAGTTTGCACAATTTTTTCTTTAACAAGCGAATATCAATACCTTTAATACAGCCTTTCCATTTATATCTCCAGTTTTCACAAATGTACATTCATACACGGGCGGCCTCG